CGATAAGGATTGCATGCAGCTATGATCTGTAAACCTGAGCCGGGCAGTAAAGGCTGTCCTTCTATTGTGTGGTCACATAACACTTCCTTGATGCAGCTGACAGCTTCTGTGGTGTTGGCTTCATCAAAAAATAAAATGGTGTCAAACTGATAATTCGACTTATTGTATCCTGCCATATCTTCAGCTTCCCTCACTTTAGAATAGATCGCATCTGCTGTGGTACCTCCATGAACTTTGACAAGCTTCATATTATCAGCATTGACACCAATCTTACGCAGTTCACATAGGTATTTTATAAGCCTGGTTTTTCCACAGCCAGTTTCTCCCATCAGGACAACAGGAATTCCACACCTAAATCTCATTTCAATGGCTAGCATTTTTAGTATATTGTCTGTGGTAAGTTCATAAGTTTCATCAGGATCGGTTGGCCACTCGATCCCCAAGACCATGCAAAGTTTCTCAATTTTCTGAGCTCTGGTCAATGCATCAAAATTAATATTGAATGGAACTTTTTGAAGAACTAATCCCGTGTACAGCTGAGGGGTCATGACATTTCTCTTGATAATATTGCCATTCAAAGGATTGATGGCATCAATGCTGCCATTGATATTGTGCTGGAGATGAAAACCAATGAAAGTCATAGATACACGGTCCGCATTGAAGAATATGTATGGATGGGGTTCAGATTCCCACTTTTTCCGAAGCAAAAATGGAGCAAGAGCTTCCTCAGTAACTTCTCCGAAATCTTGCATTCCAGGGCTTTCATCAGAAATGTTAAGTGAAGGAGTTGCAAAATCCTTTGCCATTAAAATCATAAATTTGACCACAAAATTTTTAAAGCCCTGCAAAGTGTCCTGGACAAATTCAGCATTACAGAAAACAGAGGTTTCACAATTTCTCAGCTGAAGGTTAAGAAACCAAGCAAAGTTTCTAAGTTCTGACCAAGAAGGATCAATCACTCCACAGTAGATCAAGAACAGCTGTAGGCATTCTCCTGGAGTCCCTTCCACTGAGCCTTTTCTATACCGGAACGCATCAAGATTTTCACCTCTGTTTTCTCTTATCAAATACTGGAATGGTCTCTGAAAAGCTTCACTACAGAACATTTCTTGATCTACTCCAGGATCACTGCTGTCATGAAATAAATTCTGAATATCGTTGTCCAGTACTTCTTTAGGAGATCTGCAAGTTACTTGGGGGAATACATCAAGGAAACTATAGTTCAACCCTGGAGATTTCTGAAAAAAGACCAGAAAAGGAAGGAGTTATAATACAATCAAAAGGTTTTTTGAATTTATTCTTTTATTTCACAAGCTCCATCAGTTTTCTACAGTATTTTCATTTTATACTATGGAAATGGTTTGTCAATACTGCAGAATAATTACTACGAACAGAATTACTTCTTTGTTACAAGAGAGTATGGAAAAATCTCTTTAAAGGTCCATGGAAGAAAAAAATGTTCAGTCCCTTGCAGACAATTTCACTTTAATCCCATGTAGGGAGATGTTTTTCCCTCTGTCCCTTGTAATTTTTTTTCCCCTTAAGTCATTCCGTAGGCACAACTAAGGGGAAATCCCTATTTTCTCCACTGTCGTACAGAAACCAGTTTTGAAATCCTGCTCTAAAATGCTAAAAACACAGCAAATATATATTCTATGCCTCTGGATGTACTTACAGATCCTTTTTGTTTTTTGGGTGAGGGGGACGGTTGCAGAATTTCTGCAACATAGAGGTGGCACTGTTTCCGGAGCCAAATTTTCCCATCTGTATTTTCCAGATACCGTAAGATGAAGAGCTTGAACAAAAATTCTGAAATTCCAGTCTGAACCTGGAAGAATACAGAAACATAAGGACCATACAAATAAACAGGGATGTTCCTCCTCTAGATATAAGAATATCTTCTCACAAAAGGATGTATTGGATGAAAAGGAAAATTTCATCAGTCAAAACTGTGACATACTCACAGAAGAAGTAATATCAAAATGCAGAATCATAGGCCGTTTCTGGGACTTTTGGTCCAGGAGTAGAAACAGAGAATTCAGGATTTTTCTTTCATTCACATGAGGATCAGTCAGCCGAATGGTTCTTAAAAGAACTCTGTGTCCTTGCACTTGCTCTTTCATTTTTTGATGCAGCCTCTTTATATAGAGAGACTTTCCTATAGTTTTTAACAAAAAAAGCATTTAAGATATTGACAGGAAAAATAAAAATAAAATAACTAATTCATTTGAGACTGAGAACTCACATAGTCTATACAAATGTCTAGCAACTAATATAGAGAATATAGGGAACATAAAAATAATGATCAGAATAAATTAAAACTTTTTAAAATCCATTTGCTTCTTTTCAAAAGTAACTTTTCAAAAAGTAACCTAGGGTTTCTGCTGAATCTAGCAGTATACTGCTGAAATACTGAATCTATCATTGTGGCCCCATAAAAATGGATAGTGTTTCTATCATGCATACAGGCTTTCTGAAATATCAAACCATCAAACATATGTATTTCTATCTCACAAGAATGGCTCCTGTTAGATAAGATTGTTATTTAGTGCTTATAATGAAGGTATGGATGGGCAGGACTTGTGGATCTGTATTTTTCATACACATAACAAAATATAACACACTGTTTCTCTAACTAAAGAAACTAAATACAGTGACTGAGGACCACACATCATAGAGTTGCAAAGATTGTGGTGGGCAGAACAATAAGGGCAGTTGAACCTGGAGATTTTTTACTTCTTTTCTGAGCTTCTTAACAGGAGGAAGATGTTTCTTTCTTTTTTTGTTGGTTTGTTTCTATTGTGCATAAAAGCACAAAGGCTTTAAAACAAAGAAAGTGCTTTCTCAATAGGCCAAAATTTGAAGCCCACAAACATTTACTTCCTCCGCTTCTACTGCTCAGTCCTTTGGATTTAGGCAGTTATAATAAATTCAGATAAATAAAGAAATAATATAAATAAGTTCTAAGCTAAGTCACTTTTATGTATGCCTTTTTTCCTCTAGTTCTCCAGTGTAGTGGGCAAGAAGTTTAGAACTATTCACATTACATGTTAATTAAAATGATAATTCCAATTAGCTATAGCACTACTTAACCATAAACTGCTACTATTATTAACATAATAGTACATGGTTTGAAACAGATTTCTTATAAACAAGCCCGATTAATAATATTAATTATTAACTACTACGCTAATATGATTATATATTCAACATCGGAGGTTGTTTGAACTTGGCTTTCTCACCCATTCCAGCTCTTTCAGAAGATACAATCCCAACACACATGTTATTCTTGAATATGGAAGTTGATAAATTTCCAAGCTCAGTGGCTTTGTAATGCTTCCCAAGGTAACTTTGGATGTCTTTTGGGGGTCGAAGAGGGGTCATGTGAATGATGAAATTACTAAAAACAGAGGGGATATAGCGGTCTTCTCTCTCACAGTTGCAGAACATCACTAATTGATAGTCACTGGTATGTTTTAAAAGTAGCTTTTGGTATAGTTCCTCTAACTTATAGCCAACATCGTAACTCAACTCATCTGCAAAGAGTAAGGTATAAATCTTCTTTTCTTTCTTGTTTGGAGTAAGGCATCGCCTCATAAACAATTCCACTTGCTCGAAGCTGGTTTGTGGTGTACACAATAAGACTTCATCATAAGAGGGTAGCGTCTCTTCTGGATTGTTCATATAGATGGAAATTGTAGAAACCAAAATTTCAGAGCGATGGCAAAGAATGAGGTTGGGCTGTCTAGAATGAAGACCTTGTGGTAATATTCGTTCAACATTCCTTCTCTCTAAATCTGCCAAAGTAGATAGGAATCTACCAAGAGTTTCAAAATCAAAGCAGTGTGGAAGAAATAAACCCATGTTTTCCATGTAGGACCCCCAGATTTCCTCCAGGTGTTCAGTCACCTCTCTTCTACTTGCCTGGTGTCCATATGTTACATCAAAACTATTTGGTATTTCAGATACCACTAGTTTGGAGACTTCTTCAATATCTTGTCTACTGCAGTTGTGTTTTATGAAAGACAGCATCATTAAGGCAGACTCACTGGGTTTCCCTGAACCAAGCTCCTTGCATAAATATACAAGCTGTTCAGCCATGTAATAATTCAGATAAAAATACTGGGATCGCTTCTCAGACATGAACTGATTCCACCTCTCCAGAAAACTCTCCATCTTCCTGCACATGGCTGGCAGAACCTTTGCCACATCTCCACTTCCACAAAGCCCACAGATGGAATTTAAATTAAAGTTCATATTAATGCAAAACCGACGCTCAGGTGAGCAATATATGTTAGCAATCCAGTTACGGAAAAGCATGTTTCCAGCAGAATAAAGGTTCATGAAGGACAATGCGAATCTCCGAATGTTGGAAAATACCTGAGTGAACAAAAACACAACAGTAGATTGAATCCAAATCATTATTAAACCATCTACACTTGGTGCATGCATACATACATACATACATCCTGGTAAATGTCTAATGTAGCCTCAATCAACTTTTGATTATTTAGAATACAGATATGCAATCCATAGGCATTTTCTGTGCAGCTCCCAAGTCCTGCCCATTGTATGCTCTAACAAATAAGCTCATAAATAAGCTATGAGAAACCATTAAGAGTATATTTGCTGCTGTAAATGGGGGGAAGATATGTGAGTAGATGGAAAAGAGTATAGAACTGTGGAAGCATGAGAGATCCAGGAAAGGGCCAAAAAATAAGACATAGGCCCATGTCTGACTATGAGAGTGAGATCATTGTGATATTACAATACTGAATCACTGTAGTAGCAATGAAACAATTTTACTATTACTAGAAATGATTACAAATTGTGTGTCTATGTGCTTTACCATCCAAAAGTCTGATACAGTATGAGACATATATATAATATCACAAAGAGATGAAACAATCCCATTTTCCCCAAAGAAACCTCCTGACCATTACAATTACAGCTATTGTAATAGCTATTACAATTGAGCAATAAGCAATAATCTTTATATACAAAATATATCTATTTTAAATACTTTGGGTATATAAAATCAACAATTCCTCTTAATTAGCATCAGGCTGCTTCAGGAAGCTTACTTCAGAAAATTTCTCCACTTGTGCACTTTGTTCTTCTTTTCCAGACATCAACATCAACTTGTTCATCAGTTCTTGAAGCTCTTCCAGAGAATACGTCCGATTCTCTTGGTCCCCGTGACTTTCTTGGATGGTCAGGTCCAGAATAGTGTCCAGGCAAACCTTACAACAAAACATAATATATACAAGGACATAATGAAGACTGCCCGTTTTTAAAATGTATTAATTCAGTAAACATTAGACACTCATAAAGAAAGCAATTTATGGGCCACTTCCGGTGGCATCGCCACGCCGATGGCTGCTTTCTTTTAAGCCGTCCACCTCGGGGCTGCGTGAAAGCTGCAGGAACAGCGTTCAACAGCTGTTCCGCGGCTTGAAACCTTTCTCCCCAGGCATAGGGGAGACGGTGAGATTTTTCCAGATAGAGGTCGAGTTCCCTAGTCCTCTTTTTGGAGGACAAAGGTGAGAACTCCCTCGGAGTCCGGTCTTTCTCCGCACCTCGGGATGCCTTTGTTCTGAGGAACAAAGCCAGATGCTGCTACCACTTCTGCCAATTTAAGAGACTGTAAGTAAAATTATAAGCAGACGGAGCTGACCAGGAGGACTGGAAAAGTGAATAATTTATGACTTTAACTCGGATTAAATAAGTGTCTTCTTCAACTTTTATTTGAATTAGAAAAATTTAGAAAAGATGGCTGCGGAAAGGTGTTTCCCTGTTTGATCCTTATGAGACTTTCGCTTTTACTTGGTAAAGAAAAGACGGATGAAACATTGTATCAATCTTTCTGTCAATCATAATTAAGAGCAAGCTTTCTGTTCCTTTCTATTTTGGCTCTATATAAATAAGGATTGTTGCTCTTATTAAAAGACTCTTATAAGATGTGATAAAGGGGAAAAAGATTTAAAAAGTAAAAATGGCTTCAAAACGCGTAGGAACTTCTGCTTCTGTGAAAGGCTCAATTTCCTCTCCAGTTGTTCAAACAACGCAACAGCAGAGACCTAAAACCCCTCCACCTTCTCCCCCAGCCTCTGCAATTACACTTAAAGATTTACAGGATGCCATAACGAATGCAGTAAAACAGATTAAAATAGAGAATGAGGAGCTTTTTGAAAGGAAAAATGCTGAGATGAGAGAAGACATATTGTTGGCTGTGCAGGGTTTGGCATTTCATGCAGAACGTATAGAGGCAAGGGTGGATGAGGTGGAAGAAAATGTGGAAAGATTGGATTATAGACTTGGAAAAGTGGAGGAAAATGTGGATTCAACTCAGAATGAAGTTATTATGTCACAATATAGAGATATGGAATATGCCTTGAGAATAAGGGGTTTGAAGGAGAATGCTCAAGAAAATTTGAAGGAGGAGATTGCAGCAGATTTGGCTTTGGTTTTGTCTTGCCATCCTGAAGAAATTATGAAAGAAATGGAAAAATTTTTTAGAGTTAATTCATAGGTAGCAAGACAGAGAAACCTACCAAGAGATGTTGTAATTTATTTTTCTAGAAGATCAATTCGAAATAAAATCATCCAAGCCTTTTACAAGCAGAGATTCCAAATTGCAGCACAAGATGTAATAATTTTAAAGGAAATACCACCTAAAATACTAAGGAGAAGGAAGGATTTTGCCTTTCTGGCTGATGAGCTGAAAAAGCGACAAATACAATTCAGATGGGATATACCTGTTGGCATACTTGTGAATTATAGGGGAACATGCTACAGATTAAGTTCTATTACAAAAGCAAGAGATTTTTATACTTCAGTTCTGAAAGCAGGTTCACCATCATCTCCACGAGCTACTAGAAAGGAAGGATTGCTTGAGCAACAAGTGGCTGAAGGAGCTACATTTTCAGGTGCTATAGATTTACAAGAGAAAATTATGCAGCAGTCTATTGAGATGAAAGATGATCCGAAGGTACAGAGAATGACCCGTGCAGCTCATAACGTTAAGGAAAAAGAACAGCAAAAAGTGGAAATTGTTTCTACAGTTTATCAAGAATCGGAGCCAGTGGGAGGTGCAAGACCGAAGAGATCGGTGACAGCTGATCTTCAAGGTGTGTTCCAGAAGCTCTCTGCCACTGAAAATGGCAAAGTTTCTGACATGGAATGTTAATGGCTTGAATTCACCACAGAAAAGAAAGAAGATTTTTCATTATTTGAAACAACACAAGAATGATGTTGTGTGTTTGCAAGAAACTCATATTTCTACAAAGGATCAAAAGTATTTGATTAACTCACGGTTGGGTACACATTTTATAGCATCCGCTCCGCAGAAAAAATGTGGGGTAGTTATTTATGTGAGACAAGATTTTATGCCCAAGCTGATTGATTCTGATCCGGATGGTAGATATGTTTTTATTGAACTAGTTTTGAATGAAAGAAGATGTCTTATTACTGGATTATATGGTCCTAACCAACAACAGAAACAGTTCTACAAGTTGATACATCAAAAAATTAATAAATTGGATTATAAATCAGTTATTATGATGGGGGATTGGAATGGAGTTTTAGACTCTAGTAAAGATAAGAAAGGTTCTTTTAAAGCTTCAAGTTATTCTATATTGCCTAAAACTTTTTTTGATTTGAAGGATGACTTGGAATTAAGAGACATTTGGAGAGAACGAAATATAGAAGAAAGAGACTTTACTTTTTTTTCGGACAGACATCGATCTTATTCTAGAATTGATTTTTTCTTAATAACAAATGATTTCTTTTCCAAGGTGAAGAATATTAAGATTTTTCCTAGAACATTATCAGATCATAGTCCGGTATGGATGGAATTATGGGTTGGAGATGGGAATAAAAGGTCTTGGAGATTAAATGAAAATTTATTTAGATATGAGGGAAATGTGCAAAAATGTAAAGATCAAATGAAAGAATTTTTTTATTGAATATGTATAAAGACACCTCGATTTCAATGGTTTGGGATGCTAGTAAAGCATACATGAGAGGGGCCTTGATTCATATGAATAATGCTTATAGGCGTAAACAAACGCAAAAACGTAAAGAGTTAGAAGAGGAAGCTAAATTAAAAGAGAAGGCTTTTATTTTGAATCCACTGGACAATAATTTAAAAGTTTCTTTAGCTTTGCTCAGGGAGCAATTTAATATGTTGATGGCGGATCAGACTGCAACCAATTTGTGTTATATGAAATATAATACATTTTGTAATGCAAATAAACCTGGAAGATGGTTGGCTTACCAACTACGAAAAAAGCAGAAATTAAGAGTTATAGAAAAAATAAGAGTATAAAGGAAAAGTGACATATCAACAAAAATTAATTAAAAGAAGTTTTCTGGATTTTTATTCAAAATTATATGCTTCTGAAAATATAGAATCTTCAGAAATAGAAAATTACTTACAATATTCACAATTTCCTAGATTATGGAATTGTCAGAGGGAAAAAATGAATTGTTTAATAACTTCTGATAAAATTAAAGGGGCAATTAAGCAATTAAAAGTTGGTAAAGCCCCAGGTACAGATGGATTAACAGCAATTTATTACAAGATGTTATCTGATGAAATGTTAGAACCATTAAAGGAATTATTTAATAGTATTTTGCAGGGTGCAAGAAGTACCTCCATCTTGGAAAACTGCTTTTATATCATTGATTCCAAAAGAGGGTCAGGACTTAACTCAACCTAAGAATTATAGACCTATATCTTTATTGAATACAGATTATAAAATATTTTCTAAAATATTGGCTAATAGATTAATGCAAGTGTTGAGGCAATTGATTCATAGTGATCAATCTGGATTTATAACTGGAAGATATATGAAATATAATGTAAGACAAATTGTTAATTTAATTGAGTATTTGGATAAAAATACCCAGATCCCTGCGGTTTTTATATTTTTAGACGCTGAAAAAGCATTTGATCAATTAGATTGGGGGTTTTTTATTACGAATTGTAGAGAAAATGAATTTTGGGGAAAAAAAATTCTTTGCTCTTAAGTCTATTTATCAACAACAATCAGCACAGATCATAGTTAATGGAGCTTTAACAGATGCATTTAAAATTGAAAAAGGTACAAGACAAGGATGTCCGTTATCTCCATTGTTATTTGTGTTAACAATGGAGATTTTATTAATTAAAATTCGTGAATCACCTATAATAAAAGGAATAAAAGTGAATAAGAATGATTATAGGTTAAGAGCTTTTGCCGATGACCTGGTGCTGACTTTAACTCAGCCAATAGATTCTGTGACTGATTTGGTAGAAATTATTGCTCAATATGGGAAAGTTTCTGGTTTTAAGGTAAATAATAAAAAGACTAAAATATTATCGAAAAACATGTCTATGAAGGATAAAGATGATTTAGTTAAATTGACAGGCTTTGAAATAGTAAAAAAGGTAAAATATTTGGGAGTTTATATTACAGCATCTAATGTTAAGTTGTACAAAAATAATTATGAGACATTGTGGGCCAAAGTACAAAAGGATTTAAGTGATTGGAAAAAGTTATAATTATCTTTGCTAGGGAGAATCTCAGCAGTAAAAATGAATATTCTTCCAAAATTCCTTTTCTTGTTTCAAATGATACCTATTTTGAAAAAAGATGCTAATTTGGATGTTTGGCAGAAGGGGATCAATACATTTATTTGGGCTGGTAAAAAACCAAGAATGAAGTTTAAAATTATACAAGATGCATGGGAAAGAGGAGGACTTAAGGCACCGAATTTAAAATTATATTATGATGCGGTGGCTTTAACATTTATTAGCGATTGGCTTAACTTAACTAATAAAAATATACTTTTACTTGAGGGATGGGATTTATTATATGGTTGGTATGCTTACTTAATTTATAATAAAAAAAGTAGATCAAGTTTTTAAAGCTCATATTTTAAGAAGTGCTCTGTTACAAGTATGGAAGAAATATTATCATAGATTAAATTACAAAATTCCTATTTGGGCAATTCCAGGACAGGTGATAGAGGGGGTATCTAGAGGAGTTAATTTGGATAATATTACTTATAGGGAATTACTTAGATTGGTAGGAAAGGATTGGCAAATTAAATCATTAGAAGATTTGAAACAAGAAAATATTGTATATTCTTGGTTTTATTATAATCAAGTGTTAATGAGGTGGAATTTAGATCAGAAGGTTGGTATTACTTTGGAGGATGTGAATTTGGTTAAACAGATTAAAGATTCATCGGGAGCTCACATAAAGAGAATTTATAGTGCTTTGATTGAATTGGATTCTGAAACGTAGTTAGTTAAAGATTGTATGATAAAGTGGGCTCAGAATATTCAAGAAGTGATTCCACTGGATACATGGGAGACAATTTGGGTAAGAAATGTAAAATTTACTCAAGCTCAAAATTTAAGAGAGAATTTTTACAAGATGTTTTATAAATGGCATTTGGACCCTCAAAAATTGTCACGTATGTATCCTAACTTACAGCCCAAATGTTGGAGATGTGGAAGCTTAGATGCAGCTTACTTCCATATTTGGTGGACGTGTAGGGATATAAAGGCATTTTGGATTAAGATTTGGTGGAATATCCAAAATATTTTAAAGAAGAAGATAAAGTTTACACCGCAGTTATTTTTGTTAGGTATTATGGAAAATTTGGATGCCAAAGAAATGAATCTGATGTTGAATCTTATAACAGCTGCAAGACTATTGGTAACTCAATATTGGAAGACAGATGGTTTGCCTACTGTAGAAGAATGGTCGATTAAAGTGCCAAATTTAGCAGAAATGGCTAAGATTTCTGCTTATTTAAAGGACCAATCATATGAAAGATATATTTTGGTATGGATAAGATGGATAGAATTTATTCAGAAAAAATATGGGACTGAAAAGTTCCATTTGGTTTTTGTTAAAATTTTAAAAATATTGTTATTGTTATTATTCTATTAAGTGCTTGTATGTATATTTTATAGTTTGTATGATTTTATTATAAGTAGGAGTAGTAGTTTTGATTACTAATTTCTTTGTTTGTTTTTTTAATAATAATGTATTTAATCTTAATTTTAACTTATTTGAATTTATTTTTTAAAAAAATGAGTTAAAGTGTGGTATAGATTTGGTTATACATTTAGTTGGTTTATGTTATTTAGATTATGATTATTATTTGTAACCCTGTGAACAGGTCTGGGAAGTGGGGGGGAGGGGGGTTGTAGGGGAGGGGGGATTTATATTGTAAATTTTATAAAAATTTTAATTAAAAAAAGCAATTTATTAGCAAGTATGCTTAAACGTGATTGTAATATAGTTGAAATGCAATTTAAAATGTTAATGGGGGTAAAAATTACATGAATACCTTTTTTTTTTTTTTTGCTAACTCCTTTTCATTACAAGAGGTTATTTAATGCAATAATATCCTTTTCATATATTACTGTATTTCGATGTTTAATCCTTATTTTATTTTACACCACCTAGATAGAGCTGGTTCAGCAGTAGAGGCAAACAAATTAAATGCACAAAGAACATTTAAAAATAGTTTTGTGGAAATTAGCAGAAAATAAGAAAAAACAGACCTGTTTGGAAATCATTTTTAAGCAATATCTCACCTTCTGTCCCTCCACTGGGGCCTTAATTCTGTAGATTCCTTTCTCATTGATTCTGGTTGCCAGGGATATAGAAGACAACTCCACAGAGCCATGACTCTCTTTGATAGTTTTTAACCAATCCAAGTATCTTGCAGAATCACGCTACAGGGAGAAGATATGAGAAGGAATATTCCCATTAGCTTGTATCTTTCCTAAGTCAGGTAAAATAGACAAAATTGAAGCAGACATTCTAAAATTTCTACCCCACTGTTTTCTGGGCTTTCAAGCATATTTTACCTAAGTTTAATTTCACTAAAATCGCCAACTGACATAATATGCAAACTGGACTTCATGTGGAAAAACATAATTCCGTGTTTCTCTTTGAATGCAGAGCACCTAAGTGGTTTGTAGACTTCAGGTTCAAAGAATATTTTTATTAATTAATATGCTATAAGCATAAAGCATCTTTATCAAATGCACAGCCATTTAAAGGGGAGTAATGGAAAGATACAAGGCTGCTACAGTAATTACCAGCTTCGTGGGGAGGTTGTGATCACTTTCCAGAGCTTTCCATATATTCTCCAAACACTTCATGAATTCCTCAAATCCTGCCTCTTGCTTTAAATCATACAGCAGGGAAGAGTAGCCAAACACAGCATCATGGAAACAAGCCACACGATCCACATCCATGTCATTCTCTCCTGCAGATATTGAAGCCAGCTCCACAAACACTTTCAGCTCATTTTTGTCTAACGGAAAGGAAGAAAGCACTTTGTGAGGTAAAAAGGAAATTTATATTCTATGAATGGCTTCCCTGGATGTATTGAAGTGCTTTCTAGGATGGCTTATAATTGCATTTTTTGTTTTTTTATACAAAAACAAACNTGTGATTCAACAATTTTAAGAAATTAGTCCTCTGAACTTTAAATGGTTTTGCTTCTAAATAGAGAATTAACTAATATAAAATTGTTGGGACATTGTAGAGGAGAAATAGAACATTCCAAAGTTCCCTAAAACATTAGTTTTTTTCCAGATAAAGCAAGGCAAATGATCCTGAAGTTTTATCATTATTATGATTAAACTAGATAATGTGGTAAGTTTTGGATTTAAATAAGAAAGCAATGGAAAACAAGTGTAATTGTAATCTAGAGTTTAATTAATGTAGAACAAATGTATCAAACTGGCGGCCCACAGGCCGGATGCGTTATGAGCAGGCAATGTCCATCCTGGCTCTGCAAAGGCAAAAAAAGTTGCACTACGTCACGATACACGATCGAGTTTGACACCTGTGATGTAGGGTGTTTTTTTTTTCTGTTTGTACTTTGCATCATTGTTTATACCTTACACTTTAGCTTGATTTGTGTAAATAAAGTATGTAAGAACATATAGTAAATTTCAATTGGAGCAGTAAATAACTACTATATTGAAAAAAATTAAAAGGCAGCAATACAGTTACATAGATAGCTGCTCCTCACTTTCCCAAGAAGCTTTAGGTTGATGAAAACCCACCTCACTCAGATTATGATTACTAGTTCTATTCTTTTAGGTTCAAGAAAACGGCTTCCTAAATTGATTAGCAGGCAGAAGCTCCCAGGGATTACTGGGTCCCTTTCACTTTCAGGTTGATGAAATGGCAGATGACTGGCTGGTTATTCTCTAGCACGCATGATTTTGTTTCATTTATCTTCATTCTCAGGCGCACCCCAGGGTCATCTAGCTATGTCCCCCATCATGCTGTTCCCCTTCATCTCTCTTTTCCCCAGTCCTCCCCCCTCAAAACTTTGGTAAGTCTTGTCCCAATCTTTCTCAGCAACCATAAATCCAAATTAGCGGAAAGCCTTCAGTCCATTTCAGGTTTATTAAACAACCTGAAGCCAATAAATCACAGTCCAGGTTCAACAGCCATTTTAGACATCATCACATCTTTACCTGACAGCCACCTCCTCCATTATTCAAATTATTTTCCCCAGAATCCTCTCTGATGGTGCTTTAACTCACCATTATAGTAGAGTGGTCTGATATTGATACTAGCCCATCTGCAGCCTTTTCCTTTTCCTTTGGGAGTTTTCCTAAGGGAATCAAACTGACCCTTGTTCCTTCCTCCTTATTTCTAAGGCAAAGCGCAAACTATTTTGTTTGATATCTGCATGAATATGAGAATACATGAAGATCACCATGGCAGAGAACAAGCCCATCCCAGGTCATCTTCCTTTACAAACATGAAAAAAGTCACAAGATCCACTACTGAAATAGGCCTCTCAATACTAACAAGCTATGTGAAATATACCGTATGAACATTTTGCTGCTTAATTGAGAAATAATTTTCGAATAGAAAAGTCAGAAAGATCAGAAGTATTTTACCACTTTCTAACACACTTAAGGAGAGCAGATCAGTGTTGAGTTGGCCTAAAGCTAGAGTGCCACTGCTACCAGCTGAAAGGAGGGTCAGGATACAGTGTATTAGACTGTGGTTAGAATGCCGTATTGCAAGCTAACTCACTGCTCACTCCAGGTATTTGATCCTGACCAGCTCAAGGTTGAATCAGCCTTCCATGTTTCCAACGTCAGTAGAATGAGGATCCAGACTGCACCCATATTGGGAGCAATATGCTGACTCTGTAAACAGCTCAGAGAGGGCTGTAAAGCACTATGAAAAAGTATATAAGTCTAAGTGCTATTGCTATTACTGGACTGACCAGGGGTAGCCTATTCCTGTCATTCCTTTCTTCCAGTCTTAACAAATTCAGACTCTTCATAACACACCTCCAAAACAAAACCACCATGGGTAGTAATCCCTGGAAGCTTTTGCCTGCTGATCCCACAAAATAGCACTTGCAGCTATGGCTAAAATCCAAAAGTAGAAAACAAAACAGTCCTCAAAGTCTTTATTTGTCAATGTTCAGAAGTAGTAGCAGGTTCTCCACTTGCACCCAAATTCTTCTATTACCAAGAGATCCTTAGAGTGATGTGCAGTAATCGTATCCGTATACTAGTTCCATGGAGAGGACTAGTAAAAGAAAGATATAGTTGTTGCTCAATCTCCTATGATCCTATAATGTTAAGCCTCACATGGTGCCAACAACATTAATTACTGCTGTTATTACTATTAATTTTTCTAGCTTTCCTCCTCTCTCCAAATATTCATGAGCCACTTTCCTATATATTGTAGATTAAACCTAGGGCTATGGGCACTCAGGCATAAAGCAACATGGATTCCCAGGAATAAGGTATTTTTATAATTATCACTTTACAGACAAGCTATAGCTATAACCTTCACTTTGATTCAGAATTACTCTTTTCCAGCATTCATCTAATTATAGCCTTTATCTTAGTTTATCCTATGTCTTAGTTCCATCTTTCTTACAATGTCTTACTCTTTACTCTTCCATTATCTTTATTCAGATCGGCCAAATCACAGCACAGTTCTCTGCCTGCCCAGTTAGTATTATATTGCTGCACTTAGACTTTGGGTTGGGAACAGGTTCTTGGCTTTGTGGCTTGGTAGAAGTTTTGAAATGTGAGCAGACTTTTTTCCTAGGCTGCTACATCATACCTACTGGCCTCTGTCTGGTTGTTATCAGCACCCTGGGATTCTCTGGGGTATCTCACAACATCTCAGGCTCCAATGGCTGGTGCTTTAGGCAGCCCCATCCTGGATGCCAATATCTTGGGCTCACATTGGCATCTTTTCAGCTTCCTCAACTGCCTACATCAACACTATCCATGTCTAGTAACTACCACTCAATATTAATCTGCTGCTGGCTCCTGTAGTGATCCTGTCATCACCACACCATTTAATGTCTCTCTGCCTCACCTCCAACATTGATCTTTCTATTGTTGCTGCTGCTGCTATCACTGATGGCCTCTTGTTCTCCACTGTACCTTCGAAATCTCTGGGGCTTGCTCTGCTCGCTTTTCTCTTTTTCATTCCATTCTTTCAGCCTTGTGATATAACACTTCTGCATTTGAGTCCTCAATGATACTAAGATAGCCTAGCTCCTTCTTAAAAGGCCAGTTTCTCATTCTGGCAGGGCAAGGAGACCTAAGCTATAGGTATCATTGCCTCATACCTGAATTCCTCTTACACAGGAATCTGAAGGGAAAACATTTCTTTAACCTTTACCTTTTCCTACAGCATTTATTCACAATAGCATATGTGTGACTTGGTTTGATTACACACGATTGTGCATCTAGATCAGGGGTCCCCAATCCCCAGTCGATGGACCAGTACCGGGCCGCAGCATGCCAGCAAGCAGTCCACACAAAGCCCCATCCATAGGCTGCAGGCAGCACACAAAACCACGCACCCTCCAGTCCGCGGAAAAATCTCTCTCCACAGAACCAGGCCCTGCTGCCCAAAGTTTGGGGAACTCTGATCTAGATGTTCTATTTGTCAAGGTTTAATTCATGCTTTATCTCTGGATGGGTAACAGTAGAAAAAGGAAATCCACATTTAAGTGTATGTTCCTCATTGTACATGCAAATCCCCACAAACAAGCAAAGCCCCATCCATAGGCTGCAGGCAGCACACAAAACCACGCACCCTCCGGTCCACAGAAAAATCTCTCTCCACAGAACCAGGTCCTGGTGGCCAAAGTTTGGGGAACTGTGATCTAGATGTTCTATTTGTCAAGGTTTAATTCATGCTTTATCTCTGGATGGGTAACAGTAGAGAAAGGAAATACATGTTCAAGTATATGTTCCTCATTGTACATCCAAAGGAGAGAAAGTGTAGAAATACCAAAATATCAGACTGAGAAAAGAGAAAGAGAATATTCAAAAAGATAAATAAAAACTTTAAACTTATGCTTTCTCTGTTCAGGTGTCTTCCTGATAAACAGACTGGAGAATACAACAGCTCGACCCAACATACAGTTAAAACTTTCCTTGGGGAAACAACAGAGATATATCAGTTCTACCTTCCAAAGCCTCTTTGACCCAGTTAACGAACTCCTTCCTAAGTGCCAGCTCTTCAAGGCACAGACGACGTTTTTTAGTAATATCTTGCAGCAGTTTCTTAGCATCCATCAATGAAGAGCTCATAGAAGAAAGCTTTTCTTCTTGAAAGGACTGGAATTCAATTGTCTGAAGAATAAATTACATATAATAAGAATACTGCATGTTAAGAACACACAAATTCCCTCCCCCCTTTGTTCCACAGACTTCTAATTTGGTTTATCCCTTTGGTCTTAGAGATTCACAGAAGTGACTTTTTCCCCCTAAATATCATTCCTTTTAGGAAATGTAGGAATACAGCAGAGATTTGTAATTTCCAACAGCTCAAGGGCCATATCAGTAGAGCATGTACCCACTACGTATATCACACGTTTATAATTTTATGACACTGAAACTATACAAAATCTCTTCGGTTACTGGATTATCTTTTGAATGGCAAGTTAAAGAAATGTACTTACTAAGTTCAGCAATTGTTGCAGGACCCCGAAATTACCATTAAGTTTCAAAACTTCCTTGACTTTGTCGATAACTTTAGCAGAATCCAATGCCAAATCCAATTCATGATACTGTTGGATCTGCTGGATCCGTTCATCTATCCATTCTCCATTATCTTGATACTGCAGTTGGCGCATACTTTGGAAATCACATCTGAGTTCTTCATAATGATTATTAAAATCTTTGAAGAGAACATTCACTTCAGCAAATGTGAGGTCTCCCAATTTCAAGCTGTCATAAATCCTTTGGAACTCCTTGTAACAAGGATTAAATAAGCAATCATAGACTTCCTCCATATCTAGAGTTTGTTCAGTGTCTGAATCCTGCATGTTGTTCATCAGCCTCTTGGCTGCCTGCTCCCAGCAATGCAGGAAAATGTGGTTATCTTTATAATCATACACACATTTAGATACAACTTTCAGATCTTCACTTAAATGGAGAGAGGTCTCTATTCCACCATCACTGCATGAAGTGGGTTTTCTCACTTTCACAACAGCATCCAAAGTTTTCAGTGACAGATTTCCGCTGTGCTTTTGTTCCACTTCAGTTAAATCAACTTTAAAAAGGGGGGAAAAATATACGTTGGAGCATAGTAATTTTCAGTTCATTTAAGCATTTGATATAACCTGCCCAAAGATTCATTTTAGAGCACCAATCTAAAGAGTTTGTGTTTTCATATCTGTATTATTCCATTTCTCTCGTCTTAGAATTTTCAGTTGCTTTCCCATTCATCCTTCCATATATTCAAGCTCTATTTTAGGAGGATATTATTAACAATAACTGCAAAGAGGTATCAGATAACAATTTGCAGAAGACACTATAAACACTGATTTTAAAATGATCATCATTTAAAAAATATACCTTTTAAATGGCACTGAACCTTCCTCAACATATCCAAAAGGACTCCCAAGGATTTTTGCTCCTTCTTCACATGCAATACTTCCTGTCGTCTCAGATATAAAACTTTTGCTAATTTCAGTCCTTCAAGTAATTCATTTGGGAGTGACTGTTCTGTGCATTCTATAATCAAAATTGGGAATTATTATTATTATTATTTTACACCAGCAGATTAGAGGATTCATCAGACAATGCACAGTCAAAAATCTATAAGCAATATAAAACACTAAAACCCACCTAAGCAGATAAACAGATATAAAATCATAATAGCAATAATCCTGAAGTTCTAAAATGCCAAAACACTAATAATGTGTAAAATTTAGTATTCTTAGGAAGGAGACATTGGAATAATAGGGGACATTGGAATAATATGTCTTTTTCTAAACTAGGCCAATCTGAGGCCATCTCATAAACAGACTGTCTTCTGTTCCACCTTTTTTGGAACATTTTTTTTTGCTCCAATTTCCAGATTTTCTTTTCTTTCAAAATTAGCCTCCATCCCTGGCACAGCTGCATTACCATGGTCCAAAATAAGAACATCCTAGCATTCTGTATAACAGTACATATCTCTAAAATGTTTTTTAAGCCGCATGGAAAAAAACGAACAGATCTTTCACGCCATGTAACATAATTTAAGTATCCTATGTGAGATGGCTCCATAGATGAGTTGGACCCATACGGTTCTTTCTTCAGTCAGCATCTATCCTCAATCGGCAGGGATCTTGTGAAAAGTCTCAGTTTAAGACCTTATGGCGCTATTAAGTAAATACGGGAGCAATCATTCCTGCAAATAACTTGGGGTCAAATTGCTTAGGAATTTAAAAGTTATTACCGGGTTTCAAAATGGACTCTAGGCAGTGTAAAATGATAAAGCTGCAGCTACAATAAATAATCTAGTTGTTTTGTGGAAGTAACTGGTCTAGTTTTAAAGGCAACCCCTCATAGTAATCCCAATGGGAGATTGTTGGCTCAGCCCAAAGCTGGGTGGTTCAAAGCTGTTATAAATTAACCAATCATCATACAAATGTGGGTGGGCACATTTAAAAAACTTTGTTTCTGTACAGAGGTAAAGAATTTATGCTCCGGGACTAACATCTCAAGCCAAACGGGCTCCCTAAATTCAAATTATCACACACTTTTACCTTTTGGCAGGCTTTCTTTTATTATCTCTAGGCAGATTTTCCTAACTCCCTCAGTAACTTAAACTTTTTTGCTTCAAGGAACTTCAACTTGTGATGTTATCTAGTTCAACAATATCAGTTCAGGTAGGATTGCCCTAGTGGATTGAGTAAGCGTCCGCATCTTGCTGATGCCTCAGCTGACACCCCCAAAACCACATTCAATGGCTTCATGATTTTAAAAAATGTGGGAATCAACTAGAGGACCCAAGAACCCCAACATACATACAGTATAGTATGGGGTACAAGAATAATACTCTTGCATAGCTATCTGAAATGAAAGTAGAGCCATTCTAATACAACAAAGTGATACATCCTGTCAAACTAGATAGCACCACAAGTTGAAGTTCCTAGAAACAAAAAAGTTTATGTAAGTTACTGAGGGAGCTAGGAAAATCTGTCTAGAGCAGGGGTAGGCAACCTTGGCTCTTTTATCATGGCTGGCTCAGGAATTCTGGGAGTTGAAGTCCACAAGTCATAAAAGAGCCAAGGTTGCCTACCCCTGGTCTAGAGATAATAAAAGAAAGCCTGCCAAAAGATAAAATGTGTGGTGATTTGAATTTAGTGAGATAATGTAGCTAATCAGGGTGTCAATCTCCTCATAGACAGGCATAATGGAGGGAGGGAGGGAGGATTGCATAGAAGTCTGAAAGCACGAAGTGAATTCCCCTCCCACTTTTGTAGCCTGGGCTGAAGTGCAAATAAATTATAGTATTAATGAAATCTTATCTCCAGGTTCTTTATTTCTAACATTCCTCCATACTTTCCCAGCCCCCTTTTCTCACATCAGGGTTCTACAAGAATAATGGTACTGCAATTCACTTAACAGTTCAAGAAAAGTACAGCTCCAATTATTTACTTAATGGATTATTAAACCAATATAACATAACAAATTATAATTAAAATAAAAAACTAAGGTAAAATCAATAATTAAAATAGTTAACAAAGAAGAGCTTGCCACCTTCCTAAGGACTGGGAAAATGGGAGCCAAATGCACCTCTTTAGGGAGTGTCCCCCACTGCTAGACCACTACACAAGGCCCCTTTCTGATGTAAAGCATTGTATAAGATCAGCAGCTCTATTTGCAGGAGTAGCCAACAAGTGTGCATGGAACCATCCCGATTCCATAAAACCCAATTAAACTACATTCACACAATTCATTCCTCTCTCCATCAGTATAAGCAAAAGGGACTTACTTATGAATTGTGTCTTATATTTTATAATTAGCTCCAAATCCTTAATCAGAATATGGCCTGTTACGAGTTCATTAGCAGCATTTTGAAACGAAGATTCAGCAAGGGTCATTAACGATCGAGCTTCATCAGTAAATTGGTTTAGAGTGTTTTCTTCTGCATCTATTAAACATATTAAAAACAGTAAGAAAGATTTGGGGGCATTAAATTGCTCAAGTTAGGTACTTCTTTCTTGTCACCTGAAAACAATGCCATGCAAAATGACTTACAGGTAGTGCTTGATTATGACCATTAGTTCAGCAACTGTTTGAAATTATGACAGCGCTAAAAGTACTTTACGATCTGTGTCCAACTTACCGCCAATGCAGCCCCTCCCATGTTCATACGATTACGATCACAGTCACATGACTGCAATCTGGATGCTCATGATGAGTCGCCAAGCACCCTGCAACTATGTGATCACCATTTGCAGTCTCCCCTACTGGCTAACCCTGGGAAGGCTCTGCCTCTGCTCTTTTCAGGGAGCTTGCTGAAAAAGGGCTGTTTTTCAGCCAGTCTCCTTGAGGGCAAAAACACTCAACTTTCTTTGTCAGGAAGAGTTTTGCTCTTAAAGGGGCAGCAAAAAAGCTGCTTGCTTGGAGAGACTTGAGTCTCATCGGCAAGCAGTTTTTGCTCCTACTTTGAGCAAAGAAAGGGAGAGACTCAAAGAAGGAACAAAAAATTAGTCCATTTTCACCCGACCTTTTTAAGAGCAAGAATGCTGCCTGACAGATTGATTTTGCCCCACATGGGGTGGAGTGTCTCCAGCAGGCAGGAGGAGAATGAATGGGCTGGAGAAAAGTTCCGATCATGAAGATCTGAGCTGTTTCTCCCCAGCCGAGAGCTGTAGTTCCCTTCTGTGCACGGAGGGGAACTACCTCCCTCCCTCTATCCATTTAACATTCACTTAAAAACCACACCTGGAAAAGCCAGTATGCAGTCAGAAAGCTGGGTCAGGTCATGTACTGTATGACTATGATTCTGGATTCAATTACAGTTGTAAGTCGAGGAAATCCTGTATTCTCAATTTCCTATCTCCCTTACATGCATACTTTCCTATATCTCATTTTTCAGCCCTGCACACAGATGTAACTCTATTATTTTTGCCAAACAGGAAATTTTTTTAAAATACTATATATACATTTAGTCAAAATATCAACGAACATTTGTGAAGCAGATTACTATTTCATCATAATTTCATACAATATGCTTGTATCAAATATACAAATGTATGAAATATCCAATATAACTCCTCCATTATTCTATATTATGTAGCTATTTTCTGTTATGTAGCTACTTTGATCATTTACATATTCCCTCTGACTATAAAATGGATCCTGTAAATGATTTACATACGATTGAAAACGAACAGGTATCTGCTGTCCTGACATTCAAACAGATGCTTTAGTATACTTTGAAAGTCTTTCAAAGGCGTCCCCATATCATCCTTTGGCCAGGATTTTATGATGGCAGCAGATATAATTTTACCCAGCTTGTTCCTATCATATTTAGATATCAACTCAAGCAGATTCTGTTGTTTCTAGAAAAGACATAGGAAAAAAGAATGTAGTGTTAGGCAGTAAAGAATTCAATATATCACACAATGATTTTGCACCTCTGTCAAGGTTGTCACAAAATTCATTATATCGTGTAATGGGACTTCCCCAATGAAAAAGTATTTTTCCTTCCATGTGGATTTTTCTTCCACTCGCTGAGATAGATACTGCTCTTACAACGGGGACAATCACCACTCTGTGGGAATGAAGGATCCTATAAACTGAAAAACGATGCATGGACAGGATTTGAAGGCCCTCCCTTTAACTTTCCTATATTGTATCTATAAACTACAGGCTAAATAACAATCCTTACTCTTGGGTAACTTAGGCAAGCAAAGACATTGCTATTGTTACTCCAAGCAAACCAGCCTTCACTTCTGAAAGAGACAGAATGATCTTGAAAAGCTGTCAGAAATGGACTGAGAACAAACATTATGTGAATGTAAGTTCCTATTCATAATAGGTGTGAGAATCAACTTCTGGAACAAAGAAGAGATTGTGACAAAGAACATCCCTGCTGTCTGGAAAAATATAAAAAAACTCAATCAGCAGAATCAGCTAGTTTAGTATATACTGCATACAAATAAAGGTAATATATACTAAAAAAACTAATTTAATGAATGGAAAAACATGAAACTAAGATTGTTCTTCTATAGTGTGTTACAGTAATAGGATATTTAAAAAAATCCATGCTAAAAATTTTAAACTTTTATACCATTATAGCAAGGATACATTACAGGTCAGGATTTGGTGTACTTTGAGCTGTATGCACAAGTATAACCAATACAATCTTGAAATTCCCTTGCAAGGCAACATACAGCACTGTTCTCTGCGTCCTGGCTGCTAAAATGTATAGACCAGTGGTTCTCAACCTTTTTAATGCCGTGACCCCAACCGGTCGTAAGTCGAGGACTAAACCGGTCGTAAGTCGAGGACTAACCAACCAGTCGTAAGTCGAGTACTTTCCCTGCCCGGGAGCGCCGCACATGCGTGGTTCCGCCCCCTGCGCCGGCCGAGGCGGAGCTGGCAAGCGGCAGAGATGGAGCAGGCTGACCACCAGCTGGCCCAGCCCAAGGGAGGTAAGGCACCCGCCGGAAAAGGAGAAAAAATGGCGGACAAAAAAAATGGCGGACAGCCTTGCTTGGCGACCCCCATGAAATGGTCGATCGACCCCAAATGGGGTCCCGACCCACAGGTTGAGAACCACTGGTATAGACGATTGATACATTTCTCAGCCAACTTGGAAGGAGAGAATGGCATATGTCTGGAAGGTACATTGCTTTAATCTGTGACTATCTGAAGCATAACAACCATCGTATTCACAAAAAGATCAGACAATCATTGATGTTAAATAAATTACCTGGTATGCTGAATCAATAGCTTCAAGGGCACAATTTTCAAATGTTTGCAAAATCACAGAATTGAATTTTTGAATTTTCTCATAATGACTACAATAGACTTTAATTTGTTCAACAGCTCCTTCCTAATTAGAAAACATCAAAATAAAAACAAAACACAATTTGGGGTTACAAAATATTTATAGTCTCCAAAGTGAAGACATAGAACAGAAGAATTTGTGATTACGGCAATAAGATCTGAACATAATAAATTATTTTTCAAAAAGATATAAAATGTTCTGCTTGTTCAGGATGGAAATGGGCATAGGTTACCACGATTATCTTTTGTAATAGTTTTTCTACAATAATTGGGCATTTATAGAGTCACTTAATTTATTCCTTTTTTAATTCGCACACTTGAGAGACTCTCAGAGAGTTACAGTCACAACAAAAAATGTCCATGCTACAATTAAAACTGCATAATAATTAATCAGTTCCCAAACATTAAGCCACAGATAAAATTATTCTTTAAAAAAGAAATAAAATTGAAGGTGACATCTTTAAATCTTCTTAACAATTTGATGTTTAATAATTCCTTAAAGCCTAACAAGGTATGAACTGACTGGATTTCAAGGGACAAGGAATTCCGTAACATTCATGCTGCCACAAAGAAACATTTGTAGACCTCCCTTCCCTAAACTCATGGAAATGGTGAGGCTACTAGTAGTTTGAAGAAATTCCATACTTGTTTATGTCAGGTGCTTCATTCAAACTGAAACCAGATGTTCTGCATAGACAAATCACCAACTATCTGCTCAGATATGAAAGTGAGGTCTAAACTTCTTACTTATATGTGTTCTACCAGAAATATTTGGGACAAGTCCATAATTGCCACAAAGATCATGAACTCCCAAGCCTATTTGAACCAATCCAGAGAGTATGGAGTTTGAAATCACTAAAACATGAGAAGTCTCCAATACCAGTCTGAGAACAAATCAAGGGGCTCACATAGGGCATCGGCTGATACACTAGAAGGATACCCAAGTTGTCCCTACAACCAACATACAGGCATTTATTTCTGATTTAGCCTCCCTGGCAACAGGCACAATCTCTTCAGGGTTGAATATCCTCTGTTCTGTTTCTCATGTTGGTAGGCATTGAATAGTCAGACCTCAAGAACATGATATTTCTTTATTCAAAGTAAAACAGAACAAGAACAAAATGGCTCCACCCCTTTTTATACATTCTTCCTGGGGCGTCACCAGCCAATCGTTGCAACGGATTTTCCCGCGCAAATTGCATGTTAGTCATTGCTTGCAGACAGCAAGCAATGGCTCCTGGGCGGCCCGGATGACCTTTCCTCGTGGCGGCCTGGGCGGCTTCCTCTGGGATGGCGGCCTGGGCGGCTTCCCCTGGGCGCCCGCTTTGTTCGTGGGGGTTTTTCTGGCTGCCCCCCTCGGCCCCTTCCGGATTCGGAGATGTCTTGGACGACCTGGAGGGCCTCCCCGACGATCTGGAGGCCCGCGTGGACTCGGTGGCCTTCTTGGTGGCTGCGGCGGCCCCTACAGACGCCCCCCCCCGACGATGGTTTTCAGCCTCCTCGGCGGCCTGGGACCTTCGGAGGGTTCTTCGGGCAGCCTCGACGGCCCCCTGGTGGTGGCAGCCCTGGTGGTCGCGATGGCTGAGCGGTTTGAACTATCCGAGGGCCTTTTTGGCCATTTTGATTTCAACTGGAGGCTTTTCAGAGCCTCCCCAGCAGCCTTGACGATCTCTATGGCCTTTCCAGTGGCCTTTCCAGCGGCCTTGGCCGGGCAAGGGCCTGGGTTTGGGCCTGGACTTGGACTTGGCCCGCCATGGCCTAGAGGATATCTCGCGGCCTGTTTGTGTCTCCGTTTGACCTTGGTTTTGAAAGACCTAAGGGGACTGAACATCACTCCTCCCTTTATGCCACGGACTCTCTTGTTCGGACCATGTACACGAAGACGGCCCTGTTGGCCCTGCGCGATTCACCCCTCGCGCAGGCCTGGCCCAGGAACATCTCGGGGGCCCACCTCGAGGATGGGGTGTGGAACCCCGAGAGGTGGCATGCAGCGGTCACGGGCAAAAAATTACCCAAATTAATTAAGTTAAGAATGTTTTTAC